TCACACTGATATGTTTTGGTATAAATTAAAAATGAAAGTGCAACCATGATGAAAGCGAAAGATTAACAAAGTTTGGAATGGACACTGTGCCGAACGTGGCTTATTCATTTTGTATACATTTTAACAATCCAACCAAAGGAACAGTAAGGAAAACAACATGCATCGGTTATTAACCCTGATTATATACATGGCTATTGGTGTGTRTATGTACATAAATACATTTTTTCGACATGTTGTTAAAACTAACAAATTTAACAAAATCCAAAGTTATTGAATACAACTAAAAACTTTTGTTTATATAGTACATAACAAGAAAGCGACCGGACCAGTAGAATTGGCGGGTAATACAGGTGCTCGGCATGTCTGAGACCAATTAACTGAAAGAGAGTAAAGTTATTGAAACATTGTATAATTCTATTTATATAGATGTCARCCTACCACCAAGAGAAGAAGGGACTTTTGTTTTGGAAGCGCTGTGTGAATGAAAAAAAGCGACTGCCACTCGAGCTGTGTGAAGATGGTAAAAGAGAAAAATCACAGTTAGTATATATTACTAGAGGTTGCTCTAACCGTACTCTCTTACCGTTCGACAACAACAGCTGGCATCTGAACTAACTGGACCGGCGATTTTCCATCCCGTAACGCTTGCGTGAGATTTAGAATCTGTCCGCGCATTACGGACATTTGACGCTCAAACAATCGTTTATCAAAGCCTCGGTCCTGCTGGAATAAGTATAGCAGTTCCGTGCATATTTCTTCCACAAAATTCATGTCGGACAGCTGGGGCAGCACTTGATCCTTTATGTCATTGCTAAACGGGATCTTGGCCTGAGGCAACCAGGCCCAATGATACGGATATGCCCGCCAAGAGTCTGGATGTTTAAATGGAAAAGCCAGGCCATTGTCAATGGCGGCAATTCTTATTTGTGGTGCTTCCACCATATTCCAGTCCGGGTCTTTCGGATTTTTCCTTGTTTCATCCTCGCTGCTGGTATTGCTAGTATGGCCACCAATTGCTGATTCAGCAACGGCCATTGAAGTGGGTGCAGGAGATCCACCGGCTTCAATGCGATCTGTGTTATTAATTGGAGCAGATATTGACGGCTCGTTAAGGTCTATTATTGTCTGGCCAGGCACGAATTTTTTGGCATGCGACATTGTTTTGCCACCAGTCCCACCGACCGAGCCCAACACTTTGGGCGCAACATATTTAATAAGCCAGTTGTCATTGCCTCGATCCGTATTACGAATAATATAATCGAGAACAACTAAACGCTCAAACTGTAGYTGAAAGGATTTGGCGAGCGCYGGCGACAAATGCTCATGTTCAAATCGACGCAGCCAGTAATCGGCATCCTTGTAGCCTTCCACAAAAAGCTGAAATGATCCAGTCTGTGGAATGGAAATCATCAAATGAGAAGTGTTTAGTGTTTAATTAGGCTGACCATTCACCTTTAATGGCAGGCTCATGCGGTTGAAGTGCGCCGACGGATAGTGCTCTTTAATACGTTTCTTCAACTTGGCCTTCTGGCGATCTATGCGCGCATAGTTAAAGCTCTCGGCCACCAGTCGGACCACTCGTGTTTTCGGCACAATGTTTAGATTCAGTTTACGATCCACCAAGCTCGCGCCAGCCTCGGAGAGGTAGCTATCAGATAATATAGTTAATATGTGTTTCCCAAATAAAATAACAAATAAAACTTACCCTTGATTTGGTATTAAACAGGCGCGCCCGAAACAACACGGACAGCAAAGCTTGTGCATCCACTTGGTCCACTTCGGATTCAGTCTCCCATATGGYTCTTCATCTTTTGGCTTGAAGACGGCCAGACATCTTTGCTATTATTTCAAAATGAAATGCATCAATTAGATTTACATTTTAATGCAGTTCTATATACATATATATGTAAGTGTTTATTTCAAAGCCAAACCAAAAGTCAAGTGAAACACTTTTATTACAAGACTTCCCCGTTTGTTTGATGATTTATTATATGCGCTTATTTATTTAATCGCAAGCTTTAACTTAGTGGCTTGGACTATGCGAAGCGCAGTTTAAGCAACTTGTTCAAGAAAGTTTGTTGTCTATAAGTCATCAAATATTTAGTTTATCGTACGAGAAGATTTTGTCTTATGTCATTTATGGTTATTTGTCTTATGGTTTCGTTAGTTAAACTTACTCTTGAAGCATCCTTGACGAAATAGGAACCACTGCTGCCCTGATAGATACGCTCAGGTAGAACGCCCTGCTCGATCGCATACTCAGCTTGTGCCACGATTTCCGAGAAGAGCGGATCGTCTGAAATAAATTAAAAAAGATTTTAAAAATATTAAAAAATGAAATGCATGTATGAGTTACTAATAAAATTTGTGCGTAATACAAAAATGCGCATGCCCTAAACAATGCCACAACGCGGACTGTTCAAAAAGTTTTAACCAAGTCATTGTTTATAAATAAATAATCAACTTTCAAGTAGAACTTAATGAGTTAAACGGTGCGTGACTGTTGTGTGTGTATGTAATAATATACATATGTATAATATGCGGCTGAATCGTGACGGGGTCGNATGTGGTTAACCGCAAGGCAGATGCAGCAGGTATTTAATAAAAATTCGCTATCCATCTGCCACATAGGTGAAACCGAGAAGAAAAAATAAGATAAACTTATTTGGTCATTGTTTTTGTACCTATGAAGTCAAAGTTGTCATTGAAGTCGCAGTGGTCCTGGCAGATGGTAAACACATGCTGTATAAAATTCTCGCGACTGGAGCTCAATGAACGCGGCATCACAATGAAATGTGTGTCGGTGGCCAAGTAAACTCGCTCCAGGTTGCCATCGCATCGAATRGGGSCCCCCATTAAAAGGCAAACAGTTCGAAATTTGCATATCTAAAGCGTTTAGATAGGGTCTGACCCACATTTATATATGTCGACTTGACAGCGACTTACACAGGTTCTTCACCGGGCAATTGGCACACTGACATTTCGGCTGAGCTATTTTAAATGTGACAGAATCTTGAGAATTGCGAAGTCCAGAGGGAGCAGTATATAAAATCGGAGGTGTCTCCTCTCCCGATGAAATATAGTCCTTCACCTCTGCATCACATTTGTTCTGTTTGCACGTACATCCGTACGGCTCATACTCCGAATCACTKGACTCTGCGCCACTAAAGGCAGCGGCGGCTGCGGTGGCAGTGTCTACACTGCCCCGCTTCGCCGGCTGCCTTATGGACACATTGTCGGCATTTGCTTTGTTAGCTTCTGCATTTGTCTGGTTCGATGTCATTGCTGATCATTGTACGTTGGCTACTCTTGATATTGTTTAAGTCCATTGGGCGACAGTTTGCATTCCAACGCCCATTTTAACATTCGCAAAATTTGTTATGATCGAAATTTAGTAGAAATCGTGAAATTGTGATTAAAAAATTAATCCGAAATGAATCCAAATACATGAATTAACAAACAATTTATACGCTGCAAGGCAAAAAAGTTTATACTATTCTGATGCTAAAAGCAATGGAGCATGAAAGCGATATATTAAAATTTTGTTGTTTAGTTCAATATTTCTATAACTACAATATAATGGCATTAGGATGGGTGACGCATTCAATCACGAATTGACGCAATTCAATCAACTATATTCCACTTTACAATTCACACATATTCGAAC